GAAAAATGTTAAAACTGTAGAGTTTCAGTCATACAGTTAAACCTAACCCAGTACATAAAGAATTCCAGAATTTCCTTTCTCTTTATTTTATGGCTTTCTCATAGGTTTAAGAGTGACTGGAAATCAAACCAGTGAATCTCTTTTACTTTTAAAAGATCTATACAAGCTTCACATTTTAAGTATGCTGATGTATTAAAGTTTTTGGATGGTCTTGTTTTTTTTTTTCCATTATAGAAGTCATACAAGGAAGTTCACTTTTATTTGGCAATATTTACTTGGGGCTTTTAGTAATAGCCCTTAAATGTGTGTGCTTTGTTCATTCCAAGACTTGATTTACATTTACAGTGTAGTAAAATAAAGGAAGATACACTCTTTCATGCCTTTACACTACCCACCCCCAAGCAGTTGAAAATCTGCATAGAACTTCTAACTAACTCCCCTAAAACTTAACTACTAATAGCCTACTGTTGACTGGAAGTCTTACGGATAATGTAAGCAGTTGGTTAACACGTAGTTCGTATGTTATATGTATTATGTGCTGTATTATTACAATAAAGTAAGCTAAAGAAAAACATGTTACTAAGACTATCATAAGGAAGAGAAAATACATTTATAGTACTGCACTGTTTATTGAAAAAAAATTGTGTGTAAGTGGACCTGTGTAGTTCAAATCCGAGTTGAAGGGTCTACTATACAAAAAACCATTATAGTTTTCTTATGTGGTTTCTACGCTTTTAAATTGAAAACATCAATATTGTAAATTATAGGTATGTTAAGAACCCTCAGTGGTCTTTCTGGCAGTGACTTATATGATTGTTCTTTACCCATTAATTTCAAGTATATTAGCCATATATATAACTTTCCTGTTCAGAGTTGACATGAATCATATGTCTTAGGATCTGAAATAAAACTGTGTGCATTTTTTTAATGAAGCTGCTTTTAATGAAGCTGTTTTTAATGCTATTTGTAGATTATGTGTGCTATATTTGTAACCTATATTTCATTCTTTAAGAAGATTCTGTAACTGATCCTCCCTTCCCAGGATAATAGAACTATCTTAAGAATTATGCTTGCTTGTATTTGATTCACAGTTCTTTGGATCTTCTTTTCTGGTATGTTTATATTGTAGCAGTGGAGCTTCTCCCCCACCCCCCACCCCTCTATTGGGAGCACATTTAAGAAACTCCTTATTGGAAGGTGAATTTGGCCTTGTATTTAGCATTTGCAATGAAGAAAAAGTGCCATGCCTTTAACTTAATTTCTTAGAAAGATGAGTCTCACTAGCCCTAGTGTTTGTCAGCTAGTAACAGTGTGACAATGATGCAATGATGAGAGGGAGAAAATGGGAAGGGAGAATTCAGGAAAAATTAGTTTAAATACCCAATAGAAATTGCTAAAACTTGCAATGCAAAGTAATAGTAATGCAAGATGGAATTCTGCTTCTCAAGAAATGGTATTGAGAAGGCTTTAAAAAAAAGGCAAATAGCTTTTTGTAAATGATTTTCATGGAATTACAGATGAGAATTTCAAGACTTTACATATTTGCCCCAATTTTTTCTAATGTGTAGACATATGTTTAAAGAGATACTTGAGGGGCGCCTGGGTGGCGCAGTCGGTTAAGCGTCCGACTTCAGCCAGGTCACGATCTCGCGGTCCGTGAGTTCGAGCCCCGCATCAGGCTCTGGGCTGATGGCTCAGACCTGGAGCCTGTTTCCGATTCTGTGTCTCCCTCTCTCTCTCTGCCCCTCCCCCGTTCATGCTCTGTCTCTCTCTGTCCCAAAAATAAATAAACGTTGAAAAAAAAAATTAAAAAAAAAAAAGAGATACTTGAATAAATTGGAATTTTAAGATACTGGTTTAAAAGTGTTTACAGAAACATCTTTGTGCAGAGACGAACCTGAGAAGAGATCTCATTTCGTTTTTTTTTTTTTTTTAATGTATTTTTATAATGTTTTAACTTACCTAGTGGTCAGTGGTGGGAAATATATTGGTATCTAATTAAAGTTTAGAGCAGTAAAATGCACTAAAGAGCTCTTGGTGTACCATCAGGATTATAATTCAGATCTTAATTTTAGAAGACCTCTGAGTAAAAAAAGAAACAGTATTTCGACTTCAGGAAAAATTAAAAAGCGTAAAGTACCATGTTGGTGAAGGATTTTGCAGTTCTGTTAGTAACTTCCGTTGATTAGGTAGATGCATTCAGGTAACCCATAATCCTAATTTTTCCCCCCTTAATTAAGTATCCAACATAGAAGTTACTTTGCTGAGAAATACTTGAATGACACACTTCTCCCAACCTCTCCAGTCCCCTGCTTTGAAACAGGCCTTTTCACTTGTAAAAGAAATTAGGTAGGCTAATAAGAAAGTGTGGTTTTTAAGAAAAGAAATTTAACTTCAGTCTTTTCAGTAGCGTATAGGCACATCTCATTTTCCTCCTTTGTAAAATGGGATTACTACCGGCCCTACCTCATAAAGGTATTATATGAGAACTAATTTGTAGCTGTTTCAAATCACGAAGTACACAATATCACAGATGATAGAATATTTATGACTTTTATTAGATGCTTAATGTTCATTTAAGTAATTTTGATGCAAAAAGTAAAAGCATACACTTAAAAAATACCATAAGAATTTTCATATTTTTAAACAAAGCAGTTTTATAGTCTTTTAAGATGAAATACAGCTGCTCCTGTTTTTGTTTAATTTTTAAACAGAGGCTTTGGAATATTTTGTGTGAGTAGGTAACTTCTAGGAGTTCAGAAAGGTTGAAATGTTTTTTAACTAAATGCAGTGCACATTCCTGGATCAATTTTCAAAGACTGATCAAAACCTGCTGTGTTAAAATAACATATACTGTTTTTCATCAGATTTGTTGATGATGTAAATAAGATGTGTAAACATATTAGTAAATGTTAATATTCGTGTATTTTAAGTTAAGGTTATAAGATTTGTCACAATGTGATTTTTTTTTAATTCACATAAAGTGAAAACAGATGTGTGTAACTATTTTGAATATTGGTTTATTAAACATTCATATTCTTTATCAAATAAAAAAAAGATTCTATAACTGAGATACACATGCATGCACACACACACACACACACACACACACACACATAACACAGGACTTGGTGAAGTCCGTTTAGTCCATACTTGGGTTAGACTGCTGTAATACTGGGGAAAGTATTAATTTTTTTCTCCTACTTTTTACCACATGGTAATATGCAGAGGACACGTGACCATTGTCATCATGCTCCATTGCCAGCCTGTATCACCTCTCATCTGTTATCACAACATTCTTCTGACTTTACTAGTATGGATTTCGTTGGTTTCATTATTGAATATTTTGCTCAGTAAAGACAGTCTTTCAAGCTGTTCTTGTGGATTCAAAAATAATGATTATACAAAGCTCTCATATTTTTTTGTCCTTTGTATCTATGGACTTATTTACCTGTGTGAAATAAAGTCCTGTATTTACTGTGGTAGCCTCTGAATTTTACAGAGGCTTTTTACACGGGAATTTACCTATTTTAAAGGCGATAATGTATGGTCTAAAAATCTCTGATTTTTGCTTCTTTTCAAGCCCCCCTAATTACCAATACTAGTGATGTACATCTTTTTTTTTTAATGTTTATTTATTATTATTGAGAGACAGAGACACAGAGCGTGAGCAGGGGAAGGGTAGAGAGAGGGGGAGAACAGAATCTGAAGTAGGCTCCAGCTCTGAGCTGTCAGCACAGAGCCCGATGCAGGGCTGGAACTCACAAACTACGAGATCATGCCCTGAGCCGAAGTCAGTCACCTAACCAATTGAGCCACCCAGGTGCCCCACTAGCGATGTGCATCTTAGTATGTTTATACGTTACTGTGTTCAGCACACAGCTCTGAGCTGTCAGCACAGAGCCCGATGCAGGGCTGGAACTCACAAACTACGAGATCATGCCCTGAGCGAAGTCAGTCACCTAACCAATTGAGCCACCCAGGTGCCCCACTAGCGATGTGCATCTTAGTATGTTTATACGTTACTGTGTTCAGCTCATAACCACTTTAGCAGAGCTTTCAGTTCTCACTATTACAGACTTTTCTGTGGCCCATATGCACAAACCTCTGTATACATCTGATTCCGACACAGGCTTAGAGGCAGAATTGCTGAATCGAAGGATATACCCTTTCAAGACTTTTGATACACATTTGCCAAGTTCTAATTATTCTATTACTCCTAAGGTTGAATATGTTTTCTATATTTATTCTGTCATGATTGCTTGCTTGTGCCCTTTGCTCATTACTAAAAAAAAATATTAGGTCCATCCTTTTCTTACTGATTATAAAAGCTTTTTTAAAAATAGTATCAGTCTAAAAAAAAAATATCAATCTTCTGGCAAATATATTGCAAGGGGATTTCCTCCCAATCCCTCTGCCTCAAGTTTGAGATTTCCTTTTTTTTTTTTTTTTTTTTTTTTTTTTTTTTAGAACTTTTTGCTTTTTAAGTTTTGTAATTTTTTTTTACATAGACGTGAAAATTTTTTTATTTTGTAATATTTTCAGTCTTTTCACCCTTTTGCTCTTATGTTAAAACGTTATTCCCTAGCCATTGATTATGTAAATTGTCATTAACACACAAATGAAATTCTTAAAGGTAGGGTTTTTTAAAAAATTGCTGTTCCAAAAATATTTCTTATTGCTAATTGTTTAAACTCAGTCTACTATTATGAACTTACTGAAGAAATGACTTTCCCCGATTCTTTCAAGCATGGAATTTCTGCTAAGTGCTAATGGAAGTTGGATATTAGGGAAGATAATCTTATTTTTGGTTTGCATTGTTCAACAAGAGCCAGTGGAGACTTTAATTTTTCAGGTGATGATATTTTTGCCCAAAGTATGAAAAGAATGAAAATCCAAACCAATATTTATGAATACACCCATATACTTCAGGTTTATTTTGTTTTTAATTTTTTTTAATCTACTCCCTAACAGTAAAGCACTGGTAATTTGTTTTGCAGAATCTTTGCAGCCTTTCCTGGAAGCCTGTAGCAACACTTTATTTTTTCGTACTTGCTCAGTGCTGCTTCGAACCCCTAAGCTTGATCTTCAAATACTAGAAAAGCTCAGTATTATTCTGCAGAAACTTTCCAAAATCAAGTAAGATTTTTTTTATTTCTAAAATTTTGTATGAAAGATGTATTATTGTGATGTAGAAACTTGAGAATCATAAAATATTAATGCATGTCCAAGATACATACTCAGTAACATGAGAATTGGAGTATCCATCTAGAAACGTCTTGTTTCCATAGTTCATTTCTGCTAAACAAACTTTAAGTACCACAGGGTATGTAAAAATAAGAGCAGTTTTTAGCAACTAGGTGGTAGTATCAGAGTGACTTACTGCACACGGATACTCTGTAATACCACAGGTGAAAATAAAAAAGGTAATAAAAGTATATATGCAAATCCTTATTGATGTATTGAAATGAATTTAGGGAATTAGAATGAAGCAGAATTATGGGCTTGTTATGCCACTAATTTGGATTTTATTGTGAGAATTAAGGGCTTTTGCATTTCTTCTTCTTTCCCCTGATGCAAACTTCGATATAACCAGTTACTAAATTATAAATAAAGGACATAGTTTTAAGCGTTATTTTCCTAATCTTGAGGTATTTTCTGGTGTTTCTTTTGAGGCAAATTAAACACCTGACTCATCCCATGTTTATAATGGTAAAATTTTGATTTTGGTTCAGCTCCACTGCCCCATTCCTTTCCTCTCCCCTGTGATTTGCATGATAATGAACCTAGGTATTTTATCTGGCCTCGGTGTACTTGAATAGTAAATATAATACATCTTAAAATTATTTGTAGATGTGTGCTAGTAGGTCCACATGTTCTGCTTGGTGCTTAGTACACTGTACCACACCACAGTAAGTTATTAATTGTCAAAATAAAACCTCATACATTATTAGTTTGGGACAAATGTCAGGTAAACTTATCAATTAATTTTCTTCCTTTATTTGCAGACTGACGGTACCATGGTTATCTTGATTTGTAATCAGTAAATTCTCAGGAAGACATGTTGTAGTTTACCTGTAGTGCCTTGAAGCTGCAGTAACATTACTTGGGTTTAATTTGGTCTTGGCTCTTAATTCACGGGTTTATGTTTATGTATTCCCAAAGTGCAAGTATATCCTTGAGCCAAAGCATTTTACTATTCTCGATGTGTTTTATAGCTTACGTTCATTTCAGACTGAGAGAAAGAGCTAGAACAAATCTCTAAATGGAGGGCTGGGAATAGCTGACGCTCAAGCAGGTCTTGAAGTAAATCTTTAAAACCACAAAGATGTGAATCATTTTGTATTTAGCAGGTGGTTATATAGGTTATTTGATAATTTCTTTCAGGAGGTAAATATATATAGACAAGGAAATGAGAAAAATGTTTCAGATGTTATTCTGATTGAAAATGAAATTACTGACTGATAATTACAGGTAGGTTGGTTGAAAAGGTATTTTTGACCTAAGTCAAAAGGTAACCCAATGTTCTGCTACTTACTTAAAATAAGATGATCAAGTATTTTAATTTTTCTAACTGTGAGGAAGGAAATATTCTCAAGCATTTTAATGGTGAATAGGGTTCAGTTTTCAGGATCATAGAGCATATTCTTTTTTTCCTTGAATAGTTTTCCACTTTAGGCTTCTCTCCTAAAACCCCTTTTTGTTTGCCTTGACGTATTAATCCTTTAGTTACATATTTTCTGCACTATGTTGAAAACCAGGTGCCATTTGCCCACATTTACAAGTAAATGATTGCTCATTGCCATTCCAGATAAACTCCCTAAGTGTGTGCAATTAAGTTAATGTATTCATTCTCTTCCAGGAGTAATAAGAAGCTCTTTGAACTTTTTACAATTCATCTGATGCTTCAAGAAATGCAAAGGACAACACATCCAGAGCATGCCTTTCTCTGTATTAACTTAAATTCAACTCTGTTCAATTTGGGTTTAACAAAATGCAACTCCTTGGCCTCCAGTGCAAGCCATTAGAATAGCTTAATATTATTTTATATAAATTATATATGTGTTGCTTATTTGTAAGATTGTAAAAATCACCAAAGTAACTAAAAGTCTACCAAGTAAAGTTATCAGTAGCATCATTTATCATGAAAAATATAATTTTTTTTCACTTTTAAGTTGAATCTATAGAAGCTATGGAATTTTTGGACTGTTTCAGTTCAGTTGAGGTAGTACTTACTAATGTACAAAATGGAATTTCCAGAATTAGTGATACTGGGGTTACTTTTTGTAAGAGTGTTTTAGGAAAATTTTTTAAATTATGTGATTATTTGGAATAAAATTGGTGTTTATGTGGGAAAGAGGATTAGATCATGTTGTCATTCTTTCTCAAAATATCAACAATTTCCCCTTTCAGAAGCAAAAGTATGTAAGTTAAAAAAAAATCTTTTTAATGTTTATTTTTGAGAGAGAGAGAGAGAGCATGAATGGAGGCAAGGGGAGAGGCAAGGGAGAGAGAGAGGGAGACAGACACAGAATAAGAAGCAGACTCCAGGCTCCGAGCCTCAGCACAGAGCCCAACGTGGGGCTGGAACCCACAAACCATAAGATCATGACCTTGAGCCGAAGTCGGAAGCTTAACCACCTGAGCCACCCAGGCGCCCCAAGAGTATATAAGTTTTAACTGTCATCCTCATACCATAACTTTTGTGTATATCCTAGATTCACAAAAACTGATTTTTTATTGTGCTGTTCACAGAGTAAAGAATTTTTTCTATTATTTTTCCAAAATAATTTAATCATCACCAAACTATATATGTACCATAGATGGGTTTAAAAAAACAAAACAAAACAAAACATAAAAATATCTTAGTCTCCCAACACCCAGGGATATCTCTTGCTATATAACCCAAGATGGGTGAAGTAGCCACAGGTCTGGGTGAGGTGGATGGAGATGGTGGGAGTTGGGACAGAATACTGAGAAACACAGAAAAGGAGCACTGTCCTAAATTATGCTGTATCAGTATATATTCTCATTTCCAGAAATGGAGAAATTTTCAGGAAACGCTTGGGCCTCTTCAGATGAGTATAAAAAATGTGCTGTTTGTGAAGCAGAAACAGAAAGCCATAAAGAGAGAACAGGTTGAGTATGGTGACACTTTTAGGAACTAAAGAATGCAGAAGGAGAAATGCACAGCAGACACAAAAATATACCATCACTGATATGGCAAAAGATAGAATCAGTGTCACGAGAAAAAAGAGTAGCTCTCACAAGTACCTTGAGATGGTACCAACGAGAGAGTGGACAGCCGATGGAAGAGCAAAGGTTGGCACTTGAGCCTGGCGTATTTGATGTTTCTGAAGAAAAGAACAGAACAGATAGAGCAAAAGTACTGCTCAGAGATATAGTTGAACAAAGATTTTGGGGCACCAAAGAAAGATCTGCATGTATGGATTGAAAGAGCACATCGTGTTCCAGAAAAATAAATGAGAAAAGCATTCTATAATTAGATGCATCCTATAATTTAAAAATGAACTGTAATTTGATTCTAAGTATTATGAGGATAAAGGCAAGAACAAACAAAAGCCAGTTACCTGCAAGAGAAGAAAAACCAAGTTAGCCTCATGCAATGCCAGAAGTTGATAGAAAACTACCCTCTCATGTTTTGGAGAGGGAAAGTTTTACTTAAAGAATTTATACCTAGTGAAGATGCTTTCACAGATGAAGACAATGGAAGAAAGACATTTTCAGATATGTAAGTGTTTAGAAAGGATACCATGTCTTGAGACAAGAAGCTGCTTACTTAAATCATTCCAACCAACCTAGACATGAAGGGAAATTGGATTTATTAAATCCACCTCATACCACAAGACTAGTGAAACTGAAATCACATAAGCATAAATAAATGTAATTAATTATTGTAAATTTGTAAAATGAAGTGTTAAATTTTTCAAAAGGATAAAAAATGGGAAAAGCAACAATTTAGTGATATTTGGATAAACTATATAAACTGATGTTAAAAACTGAGAATTAATGGAGCCCAGAGATTGAAGCACAGATGGAAGAGCTAGTGAGTAAAGTCTTCCATATTTTCATGAGAAATAGAGTCAAAATGTTCCATATCAAAATTACCTTTGACAGAGAAAAGAAGGATAAAGGCATGTTTGTCAAAAATGTCAAGGTAACTACTATTAAAGGCAGGATCAATATTCTCAAAACACTGAAGAAGAAAAAGAAAATACATAGTCATAGCCAAAAAATAGAAGCCAGGAACTTGTAAAGAATAAAAATATTTATTAGGATAAATAAAAGTGTTTTTTTAATATTTTAAATTCTTTATTACCCTGTTCTGATAAATTTGAAAATCTGGATGAAATAAACTATTTTCTAGAAAACAATTTATAAAAATCATATCAAGAAATATGCAATATGGGACATCTGGGTATCTCAGTTCGTTAAGTGTCAACTTCAGCTCAGGTCATGATCTCACGGTTTGTGAGTTGAGCCCCACATCGGGCTCTGTGCTGACAGCTTGGAGCCTGGAGCCTGCTTCAGATTCTGTGTCTCCTTCTCTCTCTGACCCTCCCCCACTCACACTCTTGTCTCTCTCTCTCTCAAAAATAAACACTAAAAAAATTAAGAAATATGCAATAGAAAATCATTGAAGTCTTTGATAAAATTATGGAAGAATTCTTCTTAAGTTTATTTATTTTGAGACAGAGTGTGTGCATGCATGTGGGAAGCAAGGGAGGTGCAGAGAGAGAGGGAGAGAGAGAACCCCAAGCAGGTTCTGTGCTGTCAGTGCAGACTTCTACACAGAACTTGATCTCACAACCATGAGATCATGATCTGAGCCAAAATCAAGAGTCGGACACTTAACCGACTGAGCCACCCAGGCATCCCAAAATTCTTTTTAAAAATGACATCAAGTCCAGGTGTTTTACAGGAGAATTGTTTTAACATTTTAAGGTGAAAATATTTAAAGCTGTTCAAACTGTCCCAGAATGTAGAAAAAGTATCCTAATTCATTTTATACAGTTAGCATGAACCCAGTAGCAAAAATTGTCAAAGGAAGTAGGAAAGAATTTAACAGATTAAAAAG